CGAGCAGGGGATGCAGAAGCTCTGTTAAGTCTGAAATCAACAATCGATCCTCAGAACTTGTTGCCATGGCAGCAAGGAAGCAATGTGTGCGAATGGGAAGGCGTGAAGGACTGCATGAAAGGAAGGGTGACAAAGCTGGTCTTGGAGTATTTAAACTTGACAGGGGTTCTGGACCACAAGATCTTGAACCAGCTGGACCAACTCCGAGTCCTGAGCTTCAAGGGCAACTCTCTTTCGGGCCAAATCCCAGACCTCTCGGGCCTCGTCAATCTCAAATCCATCTTCTTAAACGAAAACAACTTCTCCGGCGTTTTCCCCGCTTCCATTGCGGACCTGCACCGCCTGAAAGTTGTGGTTCTCGCCGGAAATCAAATCTCCGGTCCAATCCCAATGTCTCTGCTGAAGCTCCGTCGTCTCTACGCTCTGTACTTGCAAGACAACCGGTTCACTGGTCCGATACCCCCGCTCAACCAAACCTCTCTCCGATTCTTCAACGTGTCTAATAACCAACTCTCCGGAGAAATTCCCATGACCCCACCTCTGATTCAGTTCAATGCTTCGTCGTTTTTGGGCAACATCAACGTCTGCGGCGTGCAGATTGACAAACAGTGTGGGGGCAGTGTTGGGTTTCCACCGTCGATGAGCCCAAGCGATCAACCAAGTCCAGCGTCAAAATCAAAGCGTGGCAAATTGATAAAGATAGTCGCAGGAAGCGTAGGTGGGCTCGTGGTGGTCGTAATCTGCTTGGTTCTGGTGTGGATGATGTGCAAGTGGAGTCGCGGTCGTCGTGTTGGTCGTGGTGGGGAGGCCACCAGGAGCAAAGCCGGGGTAGCTGAGCTAGCAACAGAGAGAGGATCAGGGGAGGGGCCCACAGGAGGACCAGGTGGTGGTGGTGGTGGTGGCAGGGGAGGTAATAATGGTGGGAAACAAGGGGGGTTTTCTTGGGAAGGCGAAGGGCTAGGGAGTTTAGTGTTCTGCGGTCCAGGGGATCAGCAGATGAGTTACAGCCTAGAGGATTTGCTCAAGGCTTCTGCTGAGACACTGGGGAGGGGTACGATGGGCAGCACGTACAAGGCCGTGATGGAGTCAGGGTTTATCGTGACGGTCAAGAGGCTCAAGGATGCCAGCTACCCAAGGCTTGATGAGTTCAGGAGACACATGGACTTGCTTGGTAAGCTCAGGCACCCTCACTTGGTCCCACTCAGGGCCTATTTCCAGGCTAAGGAGGAACGCTTGCTCGTATACGATTATTTCCCCAATGGCAGCCTCTTTTCACTTATTCATGGTATGTCGGTCATCTACTACTCTACTTATTTGCCTGCTCATTTATTCCTTTATTTCTTCTTAATTGATTCATTTATTTTATTTAATACTTGCTACAAGTTAAATTTCATGGTTGTCTTGTGTTGCTTGTACATTTGCACGTACGAATTTAATTAATTATAGTTGAAGAAAGAAAGTAGAATGTGAGATTAACTTCTGGTTATCAACATAAAATTTGGTTATCACGCACGTCTGATTACTTATTTAGGAGAAAGACTTTCATGCAATAAGAATAACACTTTTTGCTATTTTCGTCCAATAATGCAATGACGCGTGTGATAACATTTACACGTATCATTATGTTATTGATTAAGGATAGCAAAACAGTGTTATCCCTGTTATTAGTAAATGTTTCTATTTATTTAGAAGTTGTCAAAAGATATGATTATATCAGTATAAAATACATAGTTTCATTCCTCCTTTTTTTAATCTTATTTTTTGGTCAAGATCCATCTTTTTCTTTTCGATTCAGAAGTATCATACAAACAAACTTTGTCACTAATCATTTTTAGTAGCATTAAAAGGTCATGGTTATTGATTTATTGGTGGGCCACGTTGGATTTGCCATCTTGATGTAGTGAAAATATGATGTTGACCGGTGGGGATGGGAGCAGTGAACTTTCTTCTCCACCTGCATTGTAGGGCCCACCCGTGTAGGTTCCCGGAAACCATGTGTTAGGCCGTCCATATTCATGAGCCTAATAGTTTTGGTGCTTGCTTATATATATATATATATATATATAATTATTTTTATCTGATGGAAGAATTTGGGCCCTTACATTAATTTCTATGAAAAATGAGGAGGATGGCTAATTAAATTGAAACCATTCGAAAGTCCCTTGAATTTGGGGTGGACCCACAAATAAATTATATTCTATGTATTTATTTTTATTGTATCATCTGATGCACTTAGCTTATTTTACACCGTTGAATGAAAATAGCAATAAACTATCTACACTTGTAACTTGCTGGGGACGGGGGGGGGACCCCTATAAACTTATAATCTCAATGGCCCTATTCCTCTCTTTAACTAACAAACAAATAAAGGAGAGAACAAAGAAACTTGTCTTTGGGATTAGTCTGGGTTGTAGTTAAGGCTTAAAAGTGCCACTCATAGTTGGGGCCCATCTAGGACCACCTCATGATTCAGACAAAAAAGAAAAAAGAAAAAAAAGAAACTTGTCTTTGCAAACAAACAAGTTGTAGTAGGATTGTGATTTAGAAGGAACATGACATAACGAAAACATTTTTGGTTTTGGTGGTGGTGGTGGTGGTGGTGTTGCGGGTGGCAAGCAAATATTCTGAAAAGTTGATATCATTTGGCATGTGTCATTGTCGTAGACTCGTAGCATATAGATGCATTCTGTATCTTTCTAAGTCAGTACATCGTTCTCCGAGAGATTTTAGGTAAATAACGACAAGATATATATCAGATGTGTTTCCTGCTCTGTAGGATTTACTTTAGAGGGTAATTGATAACTGAGTTACGTTAATATAACAAGTCTCAATCTTTGAATAGTAGTTGGTTTTTAGGCTTTACTTTTTGCACGTTGTACAGTCTTCCTGTACATTTGACCATAGCCGAGTGCCTTGGCTTGTAGTTGGTTTTCATAGCTTCTTCAAAGTTCATGTCTTCTCTCAGACAATAGCCAGTGATTTTATTTCTTGATCAAATTGAACAATAGGAACATGCTTATAATTTCACTTGACATTGATTTTATTTGTTATAAGCCTGTTTCCAGCCCCAATAAGACTAGAATATCAGGACAATATTCCCTAAGTATGGTCTTTCTCTTGCCTTTTGTCACTATTAGCATTTGATTCCAATTTATAGTCCTGCTTTAAGATTGGCCTAGCCAGCTGCAAATGGCGAATGGTTTTAAATATATGCTCACATGTGAAAATCTATTCCATGGTGCCTTGAACTTAGATATACACTCTGCTCAGCTTTTTCAAATAGAATTTCTTTTGTATCATTTTATGTTAAATGATGATAATCAACCCAAGGCTAGGTAAATTATTGCATTGACTTACTTGAACTGATTTTACACAGGTTCAAGAACTTCAGGAGGTGGGAAGCCTCTTCACTGGACATCATGTCTTAAAATAGCTGAGGACTTAGCAAGTGGTGTGCTTTATATCCACCAGAACCCTGGCTTAACTCATGGAAACTTGAAATCCTCAAATGTCTTGTTAGGTTCTGATTTTGAATCCTGCTTGACGGATTATGGCCTCACTTTATTCCGAGATCCTGATTCACTTGAAGAACCTAGTGCAACTACTCTGTTTTATAGAGCCCCTGAATGCCGTGACCTCCGAAAACCAACAACCCAACAAGCTGATGTATACAGCTTTGGTGTCCTCCTCTTGGAGCTCCTAACTGGGAAGACTCCCTTCCAAGACCTTGTTCAGGAACATGGTTCGGACATCCCTAGATGGGTGCGTTCAGTGCGCGAAGAAGAGACAGAGTCAGGGGATGACCCTGCCTCGGGCAATGAGGCATCAGAGGAGAAACTTCAGGCACTTCTTAATATTGCAATGGCTTGTGTTGCAATTGCAGCAGAGAACCGACCTACAATGAGGGAGGTTCTAAGGATGATAAGAGACGCAAGGGCGGAGGCTCAAGTGTCTTCCAACAGCAGTGATCACTCACCAGGGAGATGGTCAGATACTGTTCAGAGCTTGCCGAGGGAAGAACACTTGAGCATTTGAGTGGTTGGTTGGTAATTGAATTTAACTCAATTGGCGGCTTAAGTTATGCATTTTGATTGATTCTTTTGGGCTTTGAACCGTGATTCTTGTTGTACTAGGCATTGTACGTAGAGTGCAACCACACTGGTGTAAAGGTTTTGTTTGTGATCATTTATTCTCTTCTCTCATGTATTTGTTTCAGCTAAGTTTAATTGCACTTTCAATTACTTTTTATTAGTAAGGTTATTGTATCACCATACACAAGTTTTTTGCATGGACCTTCAATTTCAATTTTCAATTAGTGATGGGTCAGCAGCACAGGTTTCTTATTGGTGGCTGGTTCGCTAAAAAAAAAGCTATTGGCTTGGCTCGTTGTTTGGTTTTTTCTTTTCCATTTCTGGTGCGGTTGGTTGTTTGGAGCAGTGTTGCAGCAGAGTAGCTGTTATGTGTGTCCTGTCCTGTGGATTTGCTTAAACATTTATAATTATGAAGAGAGTGAGAGAGCGCTTCACATGTGGTATTAGCAAAAGCTGAAGCACCAGCGTAAGCAATAGTCAGTGAGAGTGACAGTGTAGCACAAAATCGACAGAGACATATTAACAATGGAAGCAACAGGAAAAGGGAGCAAGGCCAGGCCGCGGGCATGGATGTTTGCATGTACGCCACCTGTGTGCATTTCAACCCAATCGCTAGTCTTCGTGCGTACCGATGATCCAGCTTTACGTGAGGATGGTACTATTTTGTTATTTCTATTATTCACGATATGTCACATGATAATTTTTTCCCGTGATAATATGTGATTGATCGGATAGCAAAACAGTGCCAATAATTATATATTATACAAAATCGGTATGATATTATTATTGAAACAGCACTTGGATCGATAGGTTGTCTTTTTAAATATATAAATAAAGAAGAGAGAATAATTAAACAATGTCCAATTGTCCATGAACCTAACCTATCGGATTCGTATCCTTTTAAATATGCTAATAATATTATTTGTTATATTTATAATTATTATAAATATGTTGAGAGTCTGTGACTCGTGAGAGCGTGAGACAGTCAGAGAGAGAGAGAGAGAGAGCGATCTGCCGGTACAAATTCTACTTAATTTTCTCCGTTTCATTCATCTGCTACGCTCAGTGAGGCAGCGAGGCAGTGATATCTTCTGACGGTAGAGACAGGAAGAGTCTCAGAGATAGAGAGAAAGCGAGCGCTTTGTGATCGGTGATCAATTTCTCTCAGTTTAAAGGTTGGAAGGAATATTAAGGAGGAGGGGCACTGGACGACGATCTCCTATCTCTGTTTGCTCTGCTTCATTTCTCTATCTGAGAATAATATTTGTCAATTTTTGAAATGGACGAGCGGCAGACGCCACACCCACACCCACAGGTACTCTTCATCTTCTTCTAATTTGCAGATTATTTTCATTCTATGTCAATTTTCAGTCCAATCAGTTAGCATAACAACAAAATGAAATTAACAAAACAAAGGAATTTTAATGGTGCTTTTTGTTTGTTTTATATTCTCTCTGACTTTGCGATGATGGAGTTGTTGAACTTTGAGTCTGTGATTTTGTTTGGGAAGAAAAATAACAAACTTGAATCATTAGAAAAGCCAACTTCAATTCGTTCCTAATAATAACTACATTTCAGATAGGGTCATTTTCAAAGTTTCAAATGAGCAATCGACATTCAAATCAAGCAAACAGTAATAGCGTGATATAACAGAAGCCCAAAAAAGTATATTACGTCATGGATGGGCATGTAAGTAAATTGCTAATTTGAAATTCAATTAAAATTTAAAATGTGTTAGCTAGCTATCCTGCAACAATGAAAGGAATCTTCAGCGTAGGGCAGGTACAATTACAATTACAGCTATGGAAAATGCCTGTTTCTGTCTGGGTCCAAATAAAAATAAAATTTATATATATATATATATAGGTGGATCATGGATGGACATCAATTATTGAAGCTGTAAGTGTAAGGTTCCATTTCCACCCATGCTTGCTGCTAACAGACAAATTTCAGTCATCTCTCACGGACTCAACAGTAGTTGATGTTACTGTCTTAATTGCCACTATCTTTGTTTGAAATGAATCAACAATTATACATAACCAAACATATTCTAATCTTCTTTTTTGTCGTTCACTACGGTCTACAGTACCCAACTATTTTATACGCTTAATTAGCTTGAACTAAACAGGCATCATGTGATTAAGCTTAGCATTATCTAATAACAGTATTTTTAAGCTTAAAGTATGAGTATTTTTAGTGGTCTCTGTTGCCTCGGTTATGTAACATCACATGGGACCATGGAGAGTGGTCCAAGAATTAAGTGCACTGTTCTTTACTTTACTGCTTTACTTACTTACTCATCTAATTTCATTTAGCTTTGTGTTAAGTCCTAAATCCAAATAATTAGTTTTTTTGTCACCTTGTTTAATTTGGTTTACTTAGTTGTGACAAATTTATTTGGTGTTGACTCCATGGGTGGATGACATTTTCAAGAAAGAATATATAACCTACTCCAATAATGTCACAACTTCTGGCAATGCTTTGCCTACTGCTTTAGCTTTGTCTGTCGTTTCTCAGGTACTTCTTCTAGTCCTTGGAGCCCTAATGCTAACAACTGTCAGTCAACAACAATAGAAACTAAGAAATTGTAGTCTGCCCAAATAAATGCTAAACATGGTTTTATTCATCTAAAAAGAAACATAAGCTAGAGTTATTTGGATGAGTTTTTCATACTGTTTTAGAAGACTTCTATATTTTTTTTGTCAATGTTTGTAGAAGACTTTTATTTTTCTCCAAACACTATAATCTATGATACAGTAGCTTACAAATTAATAACTAAGCGTTTTACTTGTTTTTCTCATTCACATGTGCTAAGTAAGATGATATGTTTTTTTTTCGGGTGTCTGTGTATTCACCAATATACTACTGATATTTTCTATGTAATTTTAACACAGACTGATACTAGTGCTTCGGATAGAACTCCCACTGTTGTGTTAGATATTGAGAGCCTTGCACAACCCTCAGATAGAAGCTCGGGAAGCCCCAAAATGACAGTAAGTAGTAGTCTCTTTGTTGTCAATTTTGAAACTACTCCTTCTCACATGAGATGCACTAATTTACTGGTCGATCTAGCGAGTTTCATCATGCTTTTCTTTAATTTACACTATTTTTTCAACATTCCCTGTAGAGAGCACTCTCAAGAAAATGGTCTTATCGAGCAGAGAGATTTTTTAATACTGACGAGGAAGACACAGATGAACCCTCAAAGAAACTTCTAGTGAAAGGTATAATTTACAGTCATCTATCTATTTATGAAGTCTCAACAGACAATCTGCAATCTGATTGTCGACAGAGGAGCTATATCTCTTCACTTGTTGAAAAGTCATTGTCATATTTTATTCTAATAGGATTGGTGCCATGCCGACGTTCAGCATTATTGATCATCTTGGCATAATTGCAATTTAAACTTTATTTGTACATGGTCCCCTTGACAGTGAACTCTCAGTTGGAGCCCTTGAAGCAGTCATTGATCACCGCAAAAGCAATCTCGGCAGCCTCAAATGCTCTTACAGGCTCCAATCTCATTGACACGGGGGATGGACGGAGCAAGAGGTTGAATCGCTTTATGGCAATCAACCCTCGGAAGATCCTTTTCATATTTGCAACACTGTAAGTCCCCCATTTCATTCTCTCATAAACATGAAAGTTAGAGGTATTTAGTTTGGCGATACCATTTATTCAATGTCCATCAAGTCTCTCAACAAATATGATTGATGAGATCATTCTTTTCAAGCATCATTTTGGATGAATGTGAAATGATTGTTTTTCTTTCTTTCTTTCTTTCTTCTTCTGCTAATTAATGATTCAGTTTATTTATATGTGATTGTGTGTGTTTGTTGGCTTCAGGTCCAGTATGGGCACATTAATCCTCATATACTTCACACTGGCCATTAATAGAACAGTTTGATAAACCATGGATGGAGCTGTGCTCTGAATATACTTATGTGATCGCAGCATTCTCTCTCTGTCTCCAGTTGGTCTCGGACTTTAATTTTCTGATGCTGCCTTAATTTGTTGGTAGCTGTGTGTGCTGGGGATAACTGCTGCATATCCGTGATCCATGCTGCAATCTTGATCTAACGGTTGGTCTGTCTCTGCCTGCCAGTTGAGGAGATCAAATATCAGTATATATGATTGTTGTTAAATGATCCAGCGTTTTCAGCTCACCAACTGCGGAACTTATGTGCATGGACCAGAGCTGGCTAGGTTAATTTTGCTGTGATTCTTGTTTTCAACGCAAAAGGGTTCTATTCTATACATAAAAAAACCTTTCAATTCCCAGTCTCATTTATAAATTATAGGGCATCACTCAGGTGTTACCATTTAAAATAAAAAAACCCTCCACAAGGTGAAGAAGTATGTAATTAATTAGGCATTTTGAATACATTGGCACCTCTCTGATATAACTGTTGTACCATCAACATCTCGTTTTGTATGGATTCATCTAGATTCATGTTACAAGTCAGTCACCTTGAAAGTGAAAAGGAAAGAAAAATGCTTAATCGTGGTTCGAGGAAAATAGAGCGTTATTAGTGCATGTCAAAGTGTATCAAAGTAAGTTCTTCTCGCGTTGGATTGGCTCTCTTCTCCTTGATGATATCACTGGTGTAGCGAAAGCTAGATTAGTTTGTCCTGTTTCCTTGTAGTTGTTGTGTTCGGGGTTTTTTCCCCTCTAGTTTACCAAAAAAAAAAGTAAGTTCTTCTCGCTATCAAGGCCTAGGTTTGAGTTTCATTGCCGACAATCCCTCTTGGTAAGTAATCTGTAAAAACCAGAAAATGAGCTAAGACCCCTTATGTTAGTCCTCAAAGAGATGTTGGTATGCCTTGACCTTGAAATGGGAAAATACTTGGTAAGACCACAATATATACTATATGGTATTAATAAACATATATACAAACGTAAATAAATTAGTTCCGCATAAAAATAAAATAAAATTCCTTATTCAAATTTGGAACTCAGCGCGGTGGAACTAAATGTTCTTTCTATGACTACTAAAATTACAAGCCCTCCCCAAAGAATCAGTAGTCGTTTGACCCTAAAAAGGAAGAATCAATAGCCGACGGTCCATCGTCCTGTGAAATTTAATGGGCCGGTCCCGCCTTAGTTTGTTAATAAAGAAAGGGTTGTGTCTCGACTATGTTCAGGCTCGATCCAAACCAATTTCATACTTTTCAGGCGCCCTGAAAGGCAGGGAAAAATAATTAATAATAGCTTCCATTTACATTAAAAAAATTAAAAACAATTATGAGGGTGGTGGTAAGTGAAAATAATGCCATTTATTTAAGGATGTTGTTAAATGAACCCTAAAATTAACTGAGTACACCTTATTATCTAACTACACCTTAATATTTAAATCAAAATGTAAAATTAACTAAGTATACCCTATTTAACTATCAAAAATACCCCTAGTATACCTTAATACTATCACACAACACCAAACCCTAATCAAATGTTTCATCATCCATGATCAATTTCAAAGGCTCTCTTTAACGTTTCATAATTAAAGAAACTTTTTTTACTACAAGAGATATTCGGGGAGAATCAAATATAAAATCTCAAGTTGAAAAGTAACGCTCTTTCGCGATTCCTCTTTGGTTCTTTGTAACTTTGGCAATGGCAGTATTTTTACCCCGGCATTTGGGGGTTTCCACTGGCTCCTTGGTTGCCATCCTTGTCAATTGCAACAAACATTTTTCTTATATGATCTCCGGGTCATGAAGCTTTTGAAAGATTTGGACTCTGCACACCGTAGTAATACTTATTTACTATGTCTTCTTTGGTCTACATGCAACTTATGATATGGCCCATAAGCAGACATGGGAGAATCCATGAGAAAGTCGATGACAGCAACATCAGGGAGAAGGCAGAGCCTTGAAATCACAGTACCGTCTGAAAGTTCTTTGTAGGAATGCTTCTTCAGTTTCATTTTAAATTATGAAGCAACTCGTTTTGAGAAAAAATTATTCTTCATGTAACAATAAACAAAACTATACTACTTGCAGCTGAAGATATGAGCCCTAAGGGTGCTTATTAAAAAATAAATGAATATCAGATGTCAAAGTAATCTTTGTTTTTCGATACGATAATAGAATGCAAGCTGAAGATATGAAAAATCAAAACAAATGCACTAATCTGTGTACAAAAGTTCAAATTCAAATATACAAGGTTGGGTTCATGACTTTGTACCTGATTACAAACTCACTTTTTCAAAGGTTTTTTTTTATGGATTTTTTTTCGCTCTAATAGGCTTATGTTTGATTATGATTATATATGGTGAGTAGGGTGTATCTATTAAAATTACATTTGTTTAACAATTCAATATATCTTTTTTGGTCATTTTATGTTAGAATAAATTAGTTTTTTTTTTATATATATTAAAGAATAAATTAGTAATTTAATAAATAGTTTGGTAGTAGGGTGTACTCCGTTAATGTTAAGGTTTGTTTAACAACACCCTTAGGGTTCGTTTATTACACACGACTGTCTTGGCATGGACTATGTTTGGGGATTATCTTAGCTTGGCTTGGCTTGGTCTAAGTTGGATAACAGTTATCCTGTGTTTGGTGTAAGCTTGGACTACGACTATAATTTTTTTTTCTTCAAATATATATATATATATATATATATGTGTGTGTGTGTGTGTGTATTATAATTTATAATATATATTACATATACACACATATACTATTATTATAATATAATATGTATATGTGTATCAGTTATTCTCTTATCTGGATGTCCGCACGTTATTATCGTGCGGATGCTATTGTAAACATGCAAGAAAATAGGAAGGGATAGAGCAAAATACACGGTGTTCACACGATAATAACGTCCGAATGTCCGCATAGGAGAATTTTTGTATGTGTATATATGTGTGTGTGTGTGTGTGTGTGTGTGTGTGTAGAGAGCTTCTATTGAGGGATCCCTAAAATAAGCTTATTTGAGGGATACCCTTGTAGGGTTCACTCCACATTGTATTTTACAAATCCAAACCGTCTATTTTTTTAGATAATCATTCAAAGATCATTTCTACAAAAAATCACTTGAATCTGATATCATTTGACCACTCAATTGAGTAATTCAAATTTTAGTACTTTCTTGAAGCACCGTATTTATTGATTTTATAAGATACAATTGGATGTTGAAACGATTTCCGATTTGTCTAATTTTTTGCCATGATAATCTATGAATGTAGACTTAAAAAATAGATGGTTTGGATTGTTGAAAAAAATATTTGTTGGGAACCCTAAATGGTGTCCCTCAAATTATTTGAGAGATCCCTCAATAGAAGGGGATTGTATATGTATATACGTGTATATATACACATATATATATACATATATTATATATATATATGTATATACATGTATATGTGTACATTATAGTATATGTGTATGTAAGTATAATATAATATATAAATATGGGTATATAATAATAATAATAATATATGTTATTATTACTAGCCTCTATGCACGTGCTTCCGCACCTGAGAGAGGCTTTTTTTGAAAAATTAAAAATTTATTTTAGAATTAAAAAAGATAATGGGTAGTTGTGTTCCATAAAAATAGGATCCATTATCTGATTTTTATTTTTATTTTATTTTATTTTAATATGAAAAAGTGTGAATTTACCATATTATCCTCATTTAATTAATAATTTCAATTCTTAATATTTGCATTAATCAAGGACAGTTTCTGGTATTTTGAATGTTTCACCATTCTCTGTCTTTTGCTTTATATATATAGATTACAATATAATACATGCATCTTATATATTGGTGAGCATGAGACTAGTTAATCCTCAATTTCTAAATGGGTTTAGTAGTTCCCTACTAAGGAGGTGTTTTTGGTGGGCTGGGTATCAATAGTCTCATCTAAGATTAGGATTCGATGAAACAAATATGATACTAAATTTAGTCCAAGTCAGACTAAGCCAAGCTTGTATAACAAACAACCCCTTATTTAACTATTTGCATTCAATAGTTGAGTTATTAGAGGATTAAAAAAATAGATGAATTATTCCAAACTATTTGCTTTTACAAATGTGATTAATTAAAATTGGGTTTGGAGAAAAAGTTGTGATGATTAAGTGGGTTCGATTGGTGAGTTCAAAGGATTAAAGAAAATGGTATAGTACAATATTAAAAGGATTAGGGTCGAACTTCACTATTACAAAATAATTTTAAAAACCATTTAAAAGAAATAAAAATATATATAAAATAAGGGAGTTGATTTTTCCATTTCCCTTTTGTCCATTTACACTCCAATTATTAGAAATTGTATGAACCGCTTATCTTTTGTCCATTTACACTTCCTTTTATATTATAGCAAAAAATATTGAAAAATAAAAAATAGCATAAGCGAACAAAAGAAGAGTAGAAAAATCATCACCTAAAAATAAAAAGTTGATGAATAAAAAAAAATAGTGTGGAGAAAGGAAAGGTGGAGAGTCCACAATAATTGGCATCAAATGCTTATGGGGATTCGCACTGTTGCTGAATTCCAAGATCTGCAACTAGAAATTAAATTATTCAACTTTAGGAATATTAAAAAAAAAGAAAAAGAAAACTAAAATAAAAGCCCTCAACTTTTTGTTGCCCCCATTCTTAGCTTCCCCATTGGCTGAGCTCCAAGCCCTCTGAGCTATCTCTTTTGTCTTTCTCTGGAGAAAAGAGAAAACAAACAAAGAGCACCACTCTCCCATAACCAAATAACCCAAAAGCTTTTCAACAAAACAAAAAAGAAAAAGAAAAACAATAATCTTAATAATAAAGAGAAAGTAGCAGTGAGAGAGTAATAGAGTAGAGCCAGCCATCACTACTACTACTACCCAGAAAAAAAAAAAAAACAAAAAGAAAGCAAAGAGGGCCAATTAGGGCTCCGTCGGAAAGTTGAACCCAAAAAGGTAACGCCCTCTAAGCTTTTCTCTCTCTTACCACCACACGTACCCACTTGGTGCTCTCAGTGCTTTCCATTATCCGCCATTTGGAGCTAGAGGAAGCAAATGGTTTAAAAAAATTCTGGGTTTTGGTTAGTACTGGGTCGGAGCCGTGCTCTGCTTCTTCTTGTGTTGCTCGAGCTTTCAAGATTGTGAGTTTCAGAGATTTTGCTTTTTGTGCCTTTGTTCAAGTTTTGGGGATTTGGGTATTGCTTTTGAAATTGCTTTTTCTGCTGAATTTGAAGCTTTTTGTCACCAGTTATCAGTTATGGCGGTTTTGTGTGGTATAATTGAGCTAGCTGTAATCGTCGTTGGGCCATGGAATCTAGGGTTTTGATGACCCAAGGTTCTTTTAATAATTGAACAACCCCAAAGCAGTGATTTTGTGGGATCAAGAAAGAAAGCGTTGGCTATACGCGATGTGGAATTTCAATTCGTTCAGAAAAAATTTCCGTTGATTTGAATTGCTTAGTTGATTGTATGCTGTCCTTTGTTAGAGAGATTGGGATTTAATTGTGGAAAAATAGAAGGAAATGGCGATGGAGTCCAACACGGGGTTTCACCACGACGAAACTTTCGGGTACGGTTTGAACCGACACGCGATATCATTCCAGTCTGGGGCCATAAACAGCACCTCGGGTATGATTCCGATGGGGAATTACTTTGGGACGGATGGGGGCATGATGTTCTCTGCGAATTCGGGTATCATTAACAACAACGCTGTAATTAGTCAATCTGGGAATTCATCAGGTTCTCTACTTCTCGATTCGGTGCCCGGGCTCAAGCACGACACAGGCTTAGCTGTTGAGTGGTCTGTGGAGGAACAATTCAAATTGGAGGATGGCCTTGTCAAGTAGGTCATTCAGAATCTTATCTTTTATTAAATTTACTTTTGTCATGTATGTATGTGTTTAAGTGCCCCAATTATGTATAATTTCCTGTTACTTGGATGTTCATGCTGTTTTTGTCCTCTCCCTGTTGCTAAACTACTTTTACTTATGATCCGCCGGAAGTTGTGACAAAGTTTCCGGCCCAAATAGGTTTTGTTGTTGATGGAGTCTCCTATTGTCTGCACTCTGTGTAACAAACTGCAAATTCTGTGGGCATCCTCATATTGGCATAATATATATATATATATACATGTTTTCTTTGTCTTAAACCATAACTTTATGGCCTCTCATCGTGCTCATAATGTTGTGGGGTCTTTCACTCATTGCCATTATTATCAGTGTTTCTCATTCCTGCAACATAGAACTTGCAATGCTATTGTTATGCTCTAATAGCCCTGTCTATTTCACATGTCTGTTTGTTATGTTCATAATTTCCTTTGTGATGTGGATTGAATTTCTTTCACTTTACTTTGTGTTGCATAGTTGGTATCTTACTATGGTGAGTTTCATCTATGTTTTGTTTTAAAGTTTAATATTTCTGTGCCATCTTTAAAAAAAATGTAGATATGCCGAGGAACCAAGTATTATGAGGTACATAAAGATTGCGGCAACATTGCGTGATAAAACTGTGCGTGATGTTGCTTTGAGGTGTAGATGGATGACGGTAAGCTCTTTACTCTTCCTAATGCTGTTTGTTCGTTACTTTGGAGATTTTTGTTATCAGTTTACTTAAGATTTGTTGATTGAGTTAGAACTACTTTTGGAAATCTTTTTGCAGAGAAAGCGTAGGAAACCTGAAGAACATATTATGGGAAAGAAGGGGAACATTAGGAAGGTATGTTGGTGAAATTTAGATAACCTGTCTGACATTGATTATTGGTTCAATTGTTTTAATTTTTATATTGTGAAGCGTCATTCAATTCATGGCTCTGAGATTGAACATTACTGTATGTATCATCATTGGTGAACCATGAAAAAAAGAATCCTATGTTGCATGAATGACTTTTGATGTAATGTTGGCTGGAGTTGTGCTCCAACTCCGTTATGTAAGCTATAACACCAGAAATGGGATTTTGGTTTTAATTGAACCAATTAATGTCTTTAGGATCTAATGTTGATTGAAGAACCCGTATTCTAAAGATCATGCTTCTTCAGGATAAACTGGTGGAGTCTTCCTCAAAGACAAACATACTGTCAGCTCCACCACTAGACATGGCTGCATATTCTCTTATGGTGCACCATATGGACCATAATGAGCGTTTGCATTGTGAAGGTTAGAGATGTTCCTGTTTATTATTAGTTTTCATCTATGTTACTTAGTTCCTGTTTATTTTTAAATTTATTTTGATAGTTTCATTGATGTAATTGTTCTTTGGGTACTCTCAGGAATAAGTGGCACAGCCAAGCATCTGTTGGAGCAAAATGCTCAAGCTTTTAGTCAAATCACATCTAATCTTTCTACATACAAGGTCAATGCATAATCCGTGGTTCTTCATGTTGAATATTATACATCGAATTTGCATGCCATTGTTCAGGGAAAAGGAGATGCGTGTATCTTTTATGTTTTTATGTGCACTTCATATTATAACAGCATATACTGCTTTATACTCTTCTTATGGAATTTCACTTTGCACATTGATCAGCATATATAATGAAATAATTGACTTCATCTAGTTACTTTTTTATTTTAAGCTGACCTTTGTTTTAGTCGTTTTTGGACTATCCATTCAATTGATGGAATTTGGTTATGTTAAACTAATGCCTATTTGGCGATTCAACTATGATGATTCTTCAAGGGAATGTCCTTGTATGCCTATGTATCTGAATCTTAAGATTGTAATGTCAGTTCTCTTCTTTTAGTATGACTTTTTTACCTTCTCACCAGTTCATCAGAAGGGAAGAAATAGCTTATGTTTGCCCCATATTGTGTATTATCATTAACCCACAGCACTGGTACCCCAAATTTTTCTTCTCTCATTTTAAAATGCGCTGGCACAAATTTTCTCTGCATTTTAGATGACCATATATTCTCATTAACATAAGAAGCATGTGCTTTTCTGTCTTGCTTAGAAGTTTGCATCTTTCATAAACAGTTACAGGAAAACATTGACCTCTTCTGCCGCACGAGGAACAATATAACTTCAATCCTAAATGAGTATGTACATATCTTCAATCTATATTACAAATAATGCCAATTTGTGAGACATTCGACAATGCTGTTTCATTTTTTTTTCGCAGCATGAGAGGTATGCCTGGCATAATGAGCCGAATGCCACCATTGCCTGTATCCATTAATGAGGATCTTGCTAATAGTATCTTGCGTAATACAACTTAGGTAAGTTCATGTGAAATGACATAAAGTGAACTCATATATGTCTTTACTTTTCATGACACGGGCACTTGTGAAGGAGGGAGAGACAAGAGGGAAGGGGGTTTCGGATTGTCTACTCTTTATTTATTCCTGTCATATAAACAGTTAATTCTAGATCATTTCAGCCTGTAATCTAATATGCTTTAAATGCAAGTACTAGCTGTCAGTTCTGCATTTCTTCGCTATGAACTGTGGTTTCCATGTTTTCGCTAGGTTCATTGCTTAATGCCATATGTGCTGAATATGATTGAATATGCCTGAACTTTTTTTGGATATACAGAGTTGATATTTATTTATTTATATTACCAAATGCAAGCAGACAAATCAAGGTCCTGAATCCTGATGGACTGCCTCATTGTCTGAGCGCAAAGTGTACAAGTTGGGAAGCAGAGTTGCAAATATCTGACAAGGCCCTACGCAGAGCCTCCTCAATTCAAATCTTGGTCTCAATATGTCATTTGATCGTGTAGTGCTCCATCCCCTGGCAGCATGTGTCATGTCTAAATACATATTATGTACCCTTACTCTCATTTGTGCAGAAAATAAGTGATATATAAATATAGTTGGAGCTGCAGGCACTTTTTTTTCCTTTTTTCTTTTTCCTTCTCTTGTAAATTTCAATTTATAATTGCTAATTGTACCACTTCACTTATGTTGGGTACCGTGGTTTGATTTGTTGGTTTGCCCATTTTTCCTTCCACCTTAATGAAACACTTTAAAATTCAATTCTACGGGGAAGAAAGGGTAGTGATTTTCTAATTCGATCGTTTCTCTCTCTCTCTCTCAATTTATGTATTGTCTAGCTCTATCTTTGAATGTTTATCGAATGCATGGTCATCCAAGCTTCCTCTTTCCCCATCTCCCAGCCACCAGTCACTCACAACCCGACACAAACATGTCCTATATATATAGTGTAACAAAAAACAACAACCAAGAAAAGAAAAAAACACTTGAGGAGGATAAACTTTTTATTTACAGATGAAATTGTTGTACTGTACTACTGGACACCAATTTGAGGCCGAGGCTGCATTGACGACGTGTCGTTTTTAAGGCGCAAGAGCCATCACCTCCTGTAAGACGACAGCAGCCTGATTGTATCGATCTTGGGTCAAAGGAAGGCTACGAATTTTCATTGCATGATCCAACTGCCAAATGCAACAAAACAAAATGGGTTTGTTATTTCAAGGTTTAAAAAAAAAACACCAGAAGGAAGTGAAACAGAACGAAAGGGTTGGTTAATTACCTCTTCAATGGAGCAAAACAATTTGTTCGCAAGTTCTGTGAGGTCCCTCTTCTGATCCCTTGGTGCACAAGAGATCATCTGATTAAGATCACAATACAAGAATGTGGATTTCAGGCGCAGATCCCTTCCCAACAACTCCCACGACGACTGACCGTCGTTCATCAGGTCGCTCCCAATCGACAGCAACTCGAAGGCACACTTCTTAATCCTACAAGCACTTCCCTTCAATTGAACATCCTCCATTTTACCATGGCCTGCACTACCACATACGACATCAGCCATTTTTCTTAGTCATAGCCTCATAGGGAGGAGAAGGAAGGACAGTGTTTCCCTCATCATGTTACAAGAAAAGCATATACACCTCCAAATTCCTATTGAAAAGTTGAAGCCTTTATGCTTAAGAAAAAACAAACTGAGTCGACTGTGACAACAAGATATCTTCTTGTATTAAAGCAAAAGCACTTTTGATCAAAGCACTAAACTTTCTGGACAAAAAGATTCTTTTACTACATACAATGCTAAGAATAACATATTCAAATAATAAAATTTCTAATTCCTTTTAATCGCATCCACATGTTTACTTTGAACGATGCCAAAAGAATATGGCAAGGATTGTTTAAGAATCGAATGAAGTGGTGGTGGTGATGTGAGAGAGAGAGAGAGAGAGAGAGAGAGAGAGAGAGAGGGACGGACTTGAGCTAACCCAGCAAGCAGCTGCTGGAAATTCATTACTATCTATCTCATAATTTGAACCCAGAAGCTTTCATTGAATTCCAACGATGCAATGGAGAAATTTCAAAGGGACTTTTTATCCCTCTTCTCTTTCTGAGGAAGAAAAACTGTTGGAAATCCACCCCTCAACCCAAGGAGGAGCACATAATCAACATGTTGTTCATCATATATCAAAGAGATTGAGGCACAAAACAAAACCCAGAGAAAATAACAAATTCGAAGCAGTAGAGAATAATAAGAAACCAAAAACAAATAGGGAAGAGAGATGAGTCAGTCAGAGTTACCTGGACGCTCTTCTTCAAAACAAGGATGTGTCATATGTCTCTAGTCTGTACTAGCTCAAAGCAAGAAATTACAACTTCATTTTGTCTTCCAATAAATAATATAAATATATTTAACAAGTTAAAGGTGGGGACTGCGGTGGTGGGGTGGGGTGCGAGAAATATCTTTAAAAGAAAAAAAAGAAATTGGGTTAACTAGAGTTGGATTAAAAAGTAAAATATACCCAGAGAAAATGATAATGAAATTGAAATCAATGGTGAATAACTAAACACAAATGGGGTAACGCGTAAAGCTCTCTTGCTCCAATGCCTCACCGATATTCTCGCTTGGATTACCTGTGCTTCACTCACTCTGTCTTATCAATTCCAAACCCAATTTACACAAATAACAAGAGTTGTAGCTCAAGTCGTTAAAATTATCTTATTTTTATCTACTTGAAGTCGTGGAATATCTATGTACTACTTGTTGTGAAATGTACGTAAAAAAATGTTTCGTAAATTTTGTTGAAATGAATACCTTTAAGATTAACTTCCAACTCTACTACTGGTTTAGTGGCTTAAAAAATTTACAGAAAATAGGTGAGTAATAGTTAGGAAATTATAGGGTACCAATAGAATTTCCCTTTTAATAAAAAGAAATTAGGGGAAAATGAAGCAGAAAATTTGGAAAACATATAAATAAAAATGGACTTAACAGTTAGCCCTTTATCGAATTTTGGGCTTGTGAAACAATATTGGCATTATTGAGGAAATTTGGACCCTTGAACGAATATTGGGCCTTCGAATGAAGACTGCCCAATAATGTGAAGACAAGCCCATAAGTAGGCCCAATAGTCTGCTACTTGTAAACGAGCCCAAAAGTTGGCCCAAGAACTTTTAAACATGACCATAAGTCACCCTAAAATGCTGAAATCAGGCCCAATTTAGGGCCCAAAATGTATAACAAGGCCATAGCTTGGCCCATTAATATCAAAATAGGCCCAAAAGTCGGCTCAATAAGCTGAAAATGCCCAACGTCGGCCCAATAAGGTGAACACATTCCTAATAGGCGGCCCAGTAACATGAAAATTGGTCCAAATGTTGGCCCAATAAGGTGAAAACAAGCCCAAAAGTCGCCCTAACTTCAAAACATGCCCAAATATTGGTTTAATAACTTCAACATAGGCCTAATCGTTGGCCCAAAAATGTTAAAGCAGGGTGAAACTAATCCCAAATTTAGGTGCAAAACAGTAAAACAGGCCATAACTTGGCCCATTACCGTGACAATGGGCCCGAAAGTAGGCCCAAGAAGCTAAAAAGGCCCAAAGTTAGCCCAGCAAGGTGACATGCCCAATAGTCGGCCCGGTAACGTGAAAACCGACCCAAATTTTGCCCCAATAATGTGAAAACATGCCCAATCATTGGCCCAATAATGTGAAAGTAGGCCTCGAAGTGGGCCGAATAAGTTGATTACACGCCCAACAGTCGCCCTAATAATGTGAAAACATGCCCAACTTTTGGCCCAATAACATGAAAACCTAAATTTCGGTCTAATAAGGTGAACATAGGCCTAAGAGGGCCTGTGAAAACATGCCCAATTCGGCCCTATAACGTGAATAAGGCCGAATAGTCCCGCCCTATAATGTTAAAGCAGGCCCAAAAGTTGGCCAAATAAGGTAAACACAGGAGCAATAGTCAGCCAAATAACGTGAAAACAAGCCCATAAGTTGGTCCAATGAGGTGAACATTGGCCCAATAGTCAGCCCAATTAACTTAAAAATCAAACCACTAATCTAAAATTGGGCCCGAAAGTTGGGTCAATAGATGGCCCACAAACGAAATCGCCCCAGTTAGTTGAAACATGCCAAAAACCTGGGCCTAATAACGTGTAAAAAGGCCTGAAGCCGACCCAATAATGTGAAAGCTGGGCTAGATGTTAGAGCAACTCCACCCATTTGCCCTTAGCCATGGCAAGGGGGGGAGCTAGGGCAGCAACTATTCACGTGAATAGTGGTTGCCATTGCAAATAGTATATTTTGTGTTTCCATCCGTTGCCATGGCTAATGGCAATTACTATTCATTTTTTTGTTTTTTTACCTCAATAATTAATTCGGATAATACTTTCGGGTAATATTTTGTTTTTAAAACCTAAAGAATTAATTTTGAGAATATTTCGGATAAGATTTCTTTTAATTATATTTTGTTTGATGTATTGAATGTGTTGAAAATTTTGTGTAGAAAATGAAAAATAATAGAAGGAGAAGAAATTATAAGAGGATTTTGTGTTGAAAAGGAAGAAGAATGGTAGGTATTTATAGAAAAACAGTTCAGAACTTTTTGGTGAATTTTTAAATAATTATTCACATTTTTTTCACATTTTTTTTGTAGATTATTTTCAATTTTTTTTGTTATCGGATAAAATTTTGGTATTTATAGAAAAAAAAAATCAGTAATTTTTTTAAAAAAAATTTGATTTTTTTTTCATTTTTTTATTGCACAAAAATTGGCTGCCGTTGGATTGGAGAAAAAAATTTGATCGGAGAGCCCAGAGCGCGACATGTGGACTTTAGCAGCACTGTAGCACGTGGAGCACTGTAGCGCTAACATCGCGTATGACGTCATCCAACCCACGAGTTGGACCTCGGGCTGAACTGGCCTTCGGGCCAGCCCGACTTGCTGGGACCCACACCTTGCCCGGGCTTGGGCTCACCGCTGGAAACTCCTTTTTTTGGTTTTCTCCCCCCAGCCTTGGACTAGGCTCATGGCTAGAACTGCTCTCAGCGCACGAAAGTTGGGCCTGCACCGCGCACTGTAGGTGTTGCTCCTTAATAAATATGACCGGCGCAATAAGACTAACCTACGAGGACACGTGATCGACCAATTATGGAAAAAATTGTCACTGCGCAATCATCATCAAATATGTAGTAAAAAAGGCATTATATTATTAGTAGTAATGCTACATTGTTTGGGAATCAAAAAATCAATTGGCTCTTAATTTAGTGGTATGGTATCTCTACTCACGATATTGAAAGCGATCTCTCAACTTCAAATATCTTTTTTTTTCTCACGTTGATTTACAAAATTTATAATAAAAAAAATCAAGGAAGCCAATAGTCGTTCTTTTTCTTTTTCTTTTTTTTTTAAAAAAAAAAGTAAGCCAAATAGGCCACGTTGTTATTTGGGGTGGGCTTGGACAAGAAAAATTGTTAGCAGAAAAACTCGACAACTCTTTTTCTTTTTCTTTATTTCATAAGAAGAAAAGCCCTTAATCGCATTAACTTCCAACTCAAAGTGACATCAAAAGCCTCTTTGTACTCACCAAATTCCACAAATGCATGTATTTTCTTCTTCAAATTTCCACTGTTGCCTTTTGCAATCAACTGCTCATGAACTGTCGGACAAAGAAGTTTCCGTGTTGAGAAAGTAATGTGTTTTTTTTGAGAAGAAGAATAGCTTTTGTTTTTGTCCAAGTTATACTAAGAAAGAAGATTAATGAATGTTCATGTCTCTTTTGCCGTCACTAACAACAAAATTCTCCATCCCAAAAGGCCAAAACGCGTTATTCCAAAAAGAAACTGTTTCCTGATGTTATTGTAAACAACATAAGAATGCAACCCTAATAGACACATAGTTTCTTCTTGGGTTTTAGTCAAACATTTAATTATTTAATAAACCCTAATTCTTCGAGCATCTGATACTCCGAAAGAAGTTAGCCGCCTGATTGGTCGCTTGCGTTATTTTAATTCAAGTATGAGTCAGGATGGTGGACTGACACAAGTTCCAACATGGTGACAGAGACATAATTGTTAGGAGGAGGAAGGAGGATATGCCATGCCGCTGTGGCTTTTGGGCGGCAGTGGCACCAGCACACCACATAGATTGTTACGTCATATTGTCGAATTTGGAGGGGAAATATGAGTCAGCTGGGCGGCACCATGTCTCCGTGGACTAAAATTGCTTATGATTTTGGGGCCCTTGTTCACATGTGTTTTTATTGTATTTCCAAGCAAGCACAAGCACAAGCACAAGCACAAGCACAAGCACATGCACATGCAGAGCACAGCAGCAGTAAATCTCAGTCAAGTAGTCTATTGGTCATGGTGGATAAAGATTCAAACAAGGGAAATATGCTTTTTTGGGCTAATTAATTTAAGGAGATGATGAGTTGATAGGCATCTAATTATTGACACTAAATAGGGTATTAAGGAAAGGATTATAGTAAGAAAGATGTATTATAATTATTAATTATCAAACAGAAAATAGACTAGTTGGTCGGTGTTGGTGTTGGTGTTCCTCACTCACATTGTCTTTTGCCCATATCATTGACATATTGTGGATTCAATTCTCAATTCACAATTCTGTCATATCACATGACAATCGTCGTCTACCATGTTATGTCACATTGAAATAGCTAGCACTTTCCCAGTTTCTAGTACAATGATAATTATTATTCCTTAGCTTGGTTCCTAAGGCTGAGGTTGTGTACAAATAAAACGGCAATTTGAAGACAGACAGACAGACAGACAGAAAGACAGACAGGTGAGGGTGAAAAATCTTGTGGTTGAATAAAATGTGTTGTAAGTTGATAGACAAATAAAATGAATAGAAAAGGGAGATGAACATGATGATGATCGCATTGAGAAGAAAACTGAAGAGGGAAGAGAGGGGAGAGAGGGGAAAGGTCCAAAACAAAACAAAAGTCAAATCACCAAAGTGGGGACAAGTTTGCCATATCAGAGGAAGGGGTCCTATGCATTGAATCAAACCTTTTCATATTGTCCTGAAAGTCAAAAAGGAGGAGTTAGGTTTGGATGCATTCTATTCATCATTTTCCCACTCCTTTCTTATACCTTTTTTCTCCTCCTTTGTTTTTCCAATTAATTAATTATTTTCAAGATTTAAGTAGCAAGTATTTGTGTCTAGTGTAGACTGAACGACTCAGTCTCCCTCAGGCTCAAGCAATATCAGAGGGAGAGAGAGAGAGAGAGAGAGAGAGAGAGAGAGAGAAATGGTCTCCTTCTGACAATTGTCACAACTTGAGAGCCCCCCTCTTGACCCTCCTACTCTTCACATTTTGTACTCTTCTTCTTGTGCTCTTTATCCTCCTGCTCCTGCTCCTGCTCCTGCCTTGTATAAGTAACTGACGCAACCTTGGAGTCTCTTTGTTCCATATATAAATATATAAATATATATATATTTTCAGCCTGTGCACTTCCATAAACGCACAACTCAAAGTTGAAACCTGCAGCAGCAAATCATCACCAAAGGACGGCGAAGACAATGATAGAATCAAACCCACCTCTCCTACACCATTATGGAACACTTGTGCGCAATCCATCCAATCTTGTTCAAGTTGATCAGCAACGCCACATTGGAGGGCTGGTCCCAGCTGAAGAATGCCAGCTTCCATTGATAGATCTTCATGGTTTGAAAAGCCCTGACACAAGGGAGAGCTTAGAATGCTCTCGAGCCATCTGCCGAGCGTCGTCGGAGTGGGGTTTCTTCCAAGTTCTGAACCACGGCATCAGCCCTGAGCTGCTGCAGAGTATGAGGAGAGAGCAGCTCAAGCTGTTTGCTGCACCGTTTGAGAGAAAAGCTACTTGTGGGCTTCTCAACAATTCATACAGGTGGGGGACTCCAACCGCAACGCGGCCAACTCAATACTCCTGGTCTGAAGCTTTTCACATTCCTGTCACCAAAATCTCAGAAGAAGCTTGCTATGGGGAGGACTTTGGTTCTCTCAGGTACTTTTTATTTTATTTTATGTTCTTCTTTAAATTTTTAAGCTCTCTTTCTTTCTCCATCTTCTACCCCCTCAACATTAAATCAAAGCTAATTAAGATTTAAAAGCATTGCCAATGCCATACAAGTAAATTAATTAATCTGAAAACCAACAAATCCATCCTCAAAGTAAAAGTAGAATTGACTTGGCCCATCAATTTGAATGTAAGTTCATATACAGTTACTTAAAAAAGAAGAAAAAACAAGGCCCATGCCACATGATTAATTCTATCTAGCTACCTGTGTAACATTCTGGAACCCCCCAAAAAAGAAGACCAACCTCTACAACTTGTGTGTGGCATGTGGGAAACTGGCCCCTCTAAAAGTAAGTGTAAATGCACAAGTTGCCTTGAAATACAAGACAGTAGGCAATGCAGCATGGCAGAGTATGGCTAATTATGGGGCTTCTTCTTTTGTTGCAACAGGGGAGTGATGGAGGAATTTGCAGCAGCCATGTCAAACCTGGCAAAGTTGCTTGCTGGGATTCTAGCGAACAATCTGGGACACCGAAAGGAATCGTTAGAAGACATTTGTGACTCGAGCACTTGCTTTCTTCGATTGAATCGCTACCCGGCTTGTCCAATGTCCCCAGAGATGTTTGGCTTGGTGCCTCACACTGACAGTGATTTCCTCACAATTCTTTGCCAAGACCAAGTAGGAGGACTACAGCTCATGAAAGATTCCAAATGGGTTGCTGTGAAACCCAATCCAGAAGCACTTATTGTTAACATTGGAGATCTTTTTCAGGTAATTCATTAGAGTGTAATTATTAGAAAGCAAATGCAGTAAGTATGGCCATGTGATGATATGTTAACGTGGCATGCAGGGCATGTTTAAGCACATGTTATACTTGATTAGTTTAATTATTAAATTTTAAGTATAATTAAGCGTAGATTTAATTAGTTAATAATTGGGATTGTTTGTTAATAAAGGCGTGGAGCAATGATGTGTACAAAAGTGTGGAGCACAAGGTGATGGCAAACGAGAAGATGGAACGCTACTCAATAGCCTACTTCATGTGCCCTTCCTATGATTCTTTAATTGGGAGTTGCAGCAGCGGCAGCACATCTCCGGAATCTTCTTCCGTCTATAGAAAGTTCACATTTCGAGAATACAGGAACCAAATTCAACAGGATGTTCAGAAACTTGGCCACAAAGTTGGCCTCTCAAGATTTCTTCTTCAATAAGCTTCCTTTACCTTGCATTCCTCCAAATCCTAAAAGGCAGCAAACCAAATAGTCAATAGTCGACGGTCAACAGTCAACAGTCAACACCTGCTGTCTTGTCTAGAAGAATCCCACCCCGCCCCACACATTTCGTAGTACTTCAACCATAAAATTATATTTATATTAGTCACCATTTGTAATATTCACTTCAACAAGTAAGCTCAGGGGAAGGGAGGGATAGGATATCTTACCACAATACAATACCATCCTACAGAGATTACAATTATGTTACTGCTCCACTTGGAGATTAATACATAAATATATATATTTTTTATTTTTCCTGTCTTTTTCTTTTTCACTTTCATACCAACAGCGATTCATTAAAATAATTAGTAAAGTGGGCAATATGCTATGAATCTAGCAGATATTTTGGTACTTATACTAACATAGGATATGACTATGAGATAAAGTTGAAAGTTGAAAGTTGAAAGTTGAAAGTTGAAAGTTGAAAGAAGAAATAAACAAAGATGTGATTTGGGAAGCAACAAAGGCTTATCCAATCACACAAACTTGGAAACACCAACGCGGCTATTGGCTATTGGCTATTGGCTATTGGCTATTGCCATTGGGGAAAAGATTTTCACACACATGAAAAAGAAGTGAAATGAAATAGTAACAACACGTAGGAGATAAGCCAATTATGGTGCCAGCCATGGAATCAATATCAAATCACTACTTACTTTTTACACCTACCAGAATGACAGCCATAAACATCTCGGATCTCGGTCAACACACACGGAAAAGACACCACAAAACATAAATCACACAAGACATAATTAACAGGGTAACATGATAAGCCCTTGAAACAGAAAAAAGAAGAAGAAATTGTACTATCTTCATATGTCGGCGGTTGCAGATAATAAACCTTTTGAAAAGAAGCCATCTCCCATGTTGGCGGTTGCCGTCACATTGAATTTCTACATTTCTACAACCTCCAAGCTCAAACCCTAAGCATCATCAGATCAGACCAAGGAAACTCTATACCTGCTGCTGATTAATATTTACCATTGCATAGAATACATAAGAGCCTGCGGCAGAACAAAATATTGATATTACTAAGGCCAAGTTAACCTCAAGTCTGTCAGGTAATATAGAGATCGGGAAAGTACAAACAATTATGATCGTAACAATTGGAGTAGTTTTATCTTCAAGATTAAAAGTGGGCAGCTCTTTAGAAATGTCTGCCTAAGTTAAGTGTATCTTATTAATTCAAAGCATTTATTACAGAAAATATCAGTGTTGTTGTATGCCAACTTCTAAGCAGTCAGATAGTATTGTATGCAATACACTTTATCCAAGAATCCTAGAGTTTTGGTTACAAACCAGGGTCAATAGAGGCAAATAAATACCTAGCTGAGCAGCATCTGTGTCAAGATGAAGCGAAGAAGACTGATCGATGCATCTGTTCACTCTTCAGTTTTATGCATCATCTAAAACTTCTTCTCACTTCGTTGTACTATTAACAGTTTAAGATACCTGATTCAGTCAAGAAACATTGCCACCTTGTCTTTGAGACTGCTCTTCTTCTTCATTATGGGGGCAATTCCTTCTCTAACAACATTACTATGACTTTCTCTAATGATTTCATGGGCAAATGTCACATCCTCTGTCAAAAATCGACTCTCACTCTCCTTCTCGACGGTTTTCTTCATCAAGGGGCCTAAAAACAGATCCAGCATGTCCTGAGCAGGATCCCCTGTTCCACCTGAATTTAAGCCAATTCCTTTACTTGCCAAACTCCTGTTCGGCTTGAAAGTAGTTGTATCTGCGATGAGTGATCTTCGATTACAAATTTGGGCATCAGCAGAATCTTCTAACTCATTACCGGATGAGACTATTTCTGGAAATCTGCTGTCTGATTCACATTCTTGGTTCGATGCTTCTTCTTCTTGATTTATATTCCCATCAGCTCTAATATACTGCACGATAAAGATCGCAACTTTAGACTTCTATCTTGTGTACTAATCAACATGATATTTCCCTAAATCTATCTAAACAATTGTCAGCCATAGATAGTGAAGTAATTTTCTCAAGTTGGTGTTCAAGTATAAGATTGTACAATGTATCATAATATCTTGTTTATGAATCGAAACCATAGCAATACATCATACACAGATGTAAGAACAGAAAAGATGAAAATCAATTCCCTTCAATATTAAAGTAAGAGCAAATCACCTCTTCAGCAATGATCACTAAATCCTCCACTGTCAGTTCAACATCATCATCAGTCGAAGTCCGGACTTCTAGTTCTTCATCATTTCCACAGCTGGAACCCTTTGCTTTTTCCTTCTTCGGAGCATCAGATTCCTGAACTTTTCTTCTCCCATGTCCATTACAATTCTTCTCAGGAAAAGTTCCATCACATTCTGCGTTCTGTTCATTTGAGTTTCTTTTTCTTCTTTTCGTCTCACATTTTACAAGAACATGTGAGTTCTCCCCCAGTGTTTCCTTTGCCTTTTGTCTCTCTGGAGCACCAGACTCCTGAACTTCTCTTCTCCCAAGTCCACTACACTTGTTTTCTGGAAATTTAGCTTCATTGTCTGCATCTTGTTCAGTTGATTTTCTTTTTCTTCTCTTTGTCTCACATTTTACAAGAACATGTGAGTTTTCTCCCAATGTTTCAGTTTCATAAGAGGCGGGTCCTTCCTCTTTACCATTACTAGGCTTCCTTACCTGGCCAGCAGAAGATAAGCCCAGCATCCACTGTGGTAAACGTCTCCTACTTCCATCATCTGATTCTGGAGCAACTCCCGCCATTTCTTTTTCTCTCAACTAACTAACCTATAAATTCATTAATGGTTGGAAAAAATATAAGATGGCATCCAAAAAATTTAACCCTAAAATTATTCAGTTAGCTACTCAATCTTTTAAAATGAAATTATCATATTAACTTGTATTATTAATCGCTTCAACAATCTCAAACAACTGAGGCGATGAATTTTGATTGTAATCAAAAGCGAAAACAAAAAGGGGTGATTAATATGCATAGCTCTAGACTCAGTTCCAGTGTTTTACTTAAATCAAAACCCTAACAAATTAACAATGCACAAAATGGATACATAAATTGCGAAATCTTAATTCCGCTTGGTTCCCGAGAAAACAGGCAAAACAGAAGGAAAGGGAAAGCGAAACAGAAAAAGGAAATTAAGAAAGTACATACCAGTACAGTACCACGTCGACGATGCCAACAAGAAGAAGCGAAAGAAATAAGAGATGGTCTGGATGGATGGGGTCCCCAAGTTCCCGTTTCGTCCTTGTGTTGTGGCCTGAGAATTTGACGATCATAGACTCCGGGAAGTGGGAAAAGTTAAACCGGGAAGGGGGGTTATGGGTGTTAATTAACTCAATTTGCCCTTAGTCGGGTCGAGTCGGGTCGGATTGGGATGGGCTAAGCTTGGCAAGAAACGATGGGCTTAATTGGACCTGGGCTTTGTTCTAAATGTCTAAAACGGATCATCGCAGTTCAAATATGGAAAAACTGAAAACTAAGCAAAAGGACAAAATAGAGAAGAGAAGTATCTAGAGACTTCTGAAATGAAAATCTGCGGATGCAATTGAATACCAATCACTCATTTGCAAAAAATTTTACAGGCCCTATATCCAGTGAAAAAATTAGGACCCATAAAAAACCTCTTCCTGAGAATTGAGAAACAACTTTGTCATCTCCTACTTCCTTCCTTTCTTTCTTTCTTTGTGTGTTCTTGTTATCCCCTAAACTCAAGCTACTGCCAGGCTAGCAGAAATGAACATGGCTGTTACAGGAGGAACAACTACTACGTCGTCGTTTTCCCTGACCAAGATTGTTGGTTTCCCTCCTCCTCCGTCTCCAAGTCGCAGTTGTTCTATGATTCTGGGTGTCAAGGAAGGCCAAGAAAGATGGGGAGGTGGCAATGGCATGGCTGTGAAGGCCAGGTTTGGGTCTTCCAAGGGTGGTGCTGGGGTCTTGGAGCGCCCAAAGTTTGACCAATCCCAATTTGACCCTGCTACCCAGCTTGAACAAGGTACCTACTTTATCATTTATCCTTCAACTGTGTTGATTTTTCTCATCTGGGATTTTAGTTTTGTATTCAATAGTTGAGATTTGTTATGAAATGCCCAATTGCAATGTAGCACTGCACTGCACTATAATGAGTTTCTTCTGCCTCTGTTTAATGTTGTAATTACAGGAGGAGATATTGGACGACTCAAGGACAAGAGAGGTATTGGGAGTGGAGATAGGTACAGAGTTTTGCTGGTTGATGATGTTCGTCACACTGAGAAATTAGGTAATTTCCTTTTCCTACATATACATGACATTGATATATACAACTCTACCAGACTTTTTATTTATTGCAAGACTTAATGTACTCTTTGGTTTGGGGATTGAATTTTTGATGGCACTCTCCAGCCTCATTCATGGAGGAAGGAGGTGCTGCTATCATCAGGAGGACAAAGGAGGGATGTGATTTTGATAACTAACTGAGATCATTTTTGTGTTCTTTTGTAGTTGCAAAGGTCGTGCCCCAAGTTGTTCCATCTCTTACCCCTGATGATGCAAGAGGACTATTTCTTAAATCAAGGGAAAACGGGGTTGCCGTCGTTATCGTTACAGTAAAGGTAAATTCTCTACTGTATCTATTGTAGCATAGCTTTGCATAAATACAACTCTTTGGTCAAATTTCTTTTAATTCTTGCATCTTCATTGTTAGTTTCTTTTGGGTTTCTCGGCTTCTTGGCCCCTACCCAGAAATGAAAAACAAAAATGGATGTTTTCACATTACACGGGGTAACCTAATAGCACTTAGCTCGACTGATAGACAATGCTGTCTGGGTTGGTATCTACGAGGAGTATATAATAGGAGGGTTGGGGAAGAGATCATAAGATTAAAAACTAGTTCCACTTTTTTGCTACACCTTGTTCTTTCGTGTAATTTGTTCTAATAATTTTAATAGCAATCTTACAAAGCACAAAAGAAAAAGGAAATTGATAGCAGTACTTTGTTTTGGTTGTCAGGAACATGCTGAATTTTACTCCCAAATGATGATTCGTGGCGGGTTACGATCAACAATAGAACCGGATTCAAATGGTTTGTGAAGCAGTCAACCAAAGATCCTGCAGTTGCAATTTAACAGTTGCATTTGTAATAGTGATCCAATTTTGAAGTAACAGTATGCGTTTGGAGAAATTTTTGTTGAAGAAGACGAGAGAGATGCCGAGTGCGGGTATTGATTTTTAATATGTAGCATTGTATTCATAAAATTGGGTACTTCGACAGTTACATGGTAATACGTATGTGCGGGTATTATTTTTTGATATGAATCCCAATGAAATTCATAACTAAAAGGTCTATCTGACAAAAGGAAGTTAAGAGTACATTATGTAAAAATTGCATCTAATCGTATTTTGGGCTTCAGAATTCTCATAAAATAGAATACATTACTCAAATGATGAAAATGAAAGAGAAGATTTGTGAAAACCAGCTACACAAATTAACAGATGGGAAGCTGGGAAGTACTTCTATTCTGACAGAGGAATTAGGCTTTATTCATGATAAGAGTCAGTCGAGTCAAAATGGATTTTCCGGCATTAGCATAAGTGAGATGGAAGCCAGAAACCATACGAGATGGAATTCTCTGTTTCACTCCGATTCAGAAAGTTTTATAAACAACTCCTCATCTGTAATCGCCCCCATCTCCATCGCTCTCTCCAGTGCACTTTGCCCTCCTCCATCTTGAATTGATGGGCGTGCGCCTCTGCATAACTAGTATGTTAGTACATGGCATGGCATTATTAACAACATTAAGCCAAGATGATATCAGTTACTTCAAAAGCCCACTTGTTTAATAGCCAATTGGAAGGGGCTGCTCATATCAACATATTAGTACTGTGATGAGATGGTATCAGTTAGTTCAAATTAACTGTTACAGTTATTTATCGAGCGGACAAAAAGTTTTCTGATTTATTCTAAGAATGAAGCAAGGATCAAAAAATTTCATATGAAATATAGTTTTCAACACCAAAAGATACATTACCTCCTAAGTAGAAACTTTGCCAACGAGTTGTTCCCACTGGAGATACAACGGTGCAAAGGAGTCCTTCCGTGGAAATCACGCAAATTTATGTTGGCACCAAATTGCAGCAACAATTCAATCATCATTGGATTGCCACAGTCACAAGCCAGATGCAGTAATGAACAACCTTGAAGACAGTTCCCTGGCTCATTGGCATCCTTGATTCTCTCGCATGCTGCTGGATCATGCTGTTTCATCTCCATTGTGTGAAAATCTGACTCCAAGACTTGTACATCAGCATGGTGATATAAATCAACACCCATGACATTATCAAAGGTGGTGTCAATGATGTTCACATCTGACATCACAATAAGACGATAGACTTCTTGTAAATTACAAGTCTTCACTGCTTGCCATATGCTTGCTGCAAGAAGAGGCATGCCCGATACAGTTTCTCTAACAACCATCACTTTCTCTACATACTGCATGTGCGCAGAAGATAATTATTGTTAACATTAAAAATTACAGCCTTGTTCTTAATTACAAGAGAAAAATGTCATGATTAACACACAACACCAGGGAAAATGGAAGGTAATAGGGAGATGAATGCAGAATGCAACGGAAATTGGAAGATGATACGAATACGTGTTCAAACAGTAAAATATAAAGACACATACAAATGACAAAGATACCGTAAGGACAAAAACTTCTATATTAGTGTCTACCAAACTAGCATACAAAGCTTAATGCAACTTTCAAGCTATAAACATTTTCCCTCATGTTTTTTTTTTCTTTCCATATTTTATATGCAAGTTCCTATTATAGAATTGCGGAAAGGAACTTAATGGATTACCTTTGCTTGAATGTATATTTCCTTATGCTGAATTGCATCTTCAGGGCCTGGTTTTAAAATTGAAGCCCTAGTGGCCTTTGAGCCATTCGCTCTGCAAAATATTTACATCCAACATAAATTACACATAACTTCTAATACCACAAAGCACATTACTTAGATAAATCCAACAGTTAGGAAGGGATTAAAGGAAGCTGTCTTTTGTGAATTATTATTTTTAATTGTAGGCTAAAAGTACTTGAAAGGTCATGCATGCTTTTTTGTGGACAAAAGTATCCATTCAAAAAAATTCCAAACACCGTGCAACTCCATATATCAATACTGTATAGAAGAAAAAATATATATGCCATGAAGCACCTAGCTACTCCATATCTCATTACTGTACTAGAGATTTTGTTGATAGTTATGAACTTAACATTCTTCATAATTGGGTTTCAACATCTTACACTGGCATTCAAGTTTCTGGTGTGGAATTAATAGAAACTGAAACCCATAAAAAACATCCTCGATTACATTTCTTTTAAGCTTCCACATATAAACTTCAATGTGGAAATCAACAATAACTTTTTCTTTCTTTCAGAATATAAATAAATTCTGTGATGTGATAACACTGGCCGTATTGCAAATACTGTTGGAATTCTTACCTTTCATTCTCAAGTAGAAGCGTTCGTTCCCATACAGAGTTACAATAAGCATTACCCAAGTTGCAAAATAAGTCCACAATTGTAGGTTCCCAAACCTTGACATCTAATGTTAGAGATCTCACCTGCAGTTATTAGTACAAGTCATCTTTTAATGGGGATCTCAAACGAGAATTCAAAATAATTGGTATAGAGAAATTCATAATAATAGGATTTGACCAACACAACTCTAAATGCTTTAACTTCCCTAACTTTTCGCAAATAACAAAGACAATCCAAATTATTAATAATATAGAAGGGTAGGCCACGAGGAAAATGATACAAAATAAAACTTATTAATAAACTGGAAGATGACAGACATCTACCCTAGAGCAAAACACAATCAGTGGTCAACTTTTCATTTCTTTGCGCACCTTTGAAATATGTACACCAAGATTCCGGTGAACACCAGAACATTCGATGCACACCAGTATGCCAAGATTAAGAGATGCCCAATCAGGCTCAGGAGCACTGCACTCTGCACAAAGATCATTTCCAGGGATTTCCCTGAGAATACTAGAAACAGAATCTATTCTGTTGAATTTTATGGTATCTTCTCTACTTTCATTGCTATTTAGTGGACGAACATCATAAGTGCCAAGAGCAGATTTACTACTCTTGAGATTCACGTTTCTAGGATGTGGCTGCATAAGATACAACGAAACTTTGTTAGTCGTAATGCTTGCATGCAAACCTTGATTGTTAGTTAACGGAAAAGTCACAAAGCTTTCGAGGGAGGGACCTGTTCAAGAAGCTGAGAATTCAAGAGAGATTGAATAGCTCCTGTTATTTTGTTTATCCAATCCATCCTATCTG